TTACCGTAACTCTTTGGCTCCTTCCTGTAACGTCGTTCCTTACCCATGCTAGGGCCTTTCCGCTTACTCCCACCTGTCTCTCAAGTCTGAATAGCAGTCTCATGTGTGGTACTGTATCAAAGGCCTTTTGGCAGTCCAGAAATATGCAGTCTGCCCAAACTTCTCTGTCCTGTCTTATCCTCGTTATTTTATCATAGAATTCCAAAAGGTTTGTTAGGCAAGATTTCCCTGTCCAGAACCCATGTTGGTGTTTGTTTACGAGCCCAATGTTTTCCAGGTGTGCAACCAGTCTTAGCCTAATTATTTTTTCAAGTATTTTACAGGGGATGCTTGTCAGTGATACAGGTCTATAGTTAAGTGCCTCCTCCCTATTACCTTTCTTGAAAATCGGTACAACATTTGCCCTCTTCCAGTAATTGGGTAAATCTCCCGACATAAGTGATTCATTAAAGATCCTTGCCAAAGGCACGCTGAGGGCCTGCGCTGCCTCTTTTAGTATCCACGATGATACTTTGTCTGGTCCAACCATGTTAGTTGCATCCAATTGTAGTCAACTGTTTCATTACCTCCTCTGCTGTCACCTCTATATCTGATAGTCTTTCATCTAAGGTAATCACTTCTAACAATGGGAGCTGCTCAGGCTCGGTTGTGAACACTCCATGGAAACTGACATTCAGTGCCTCGCAGATTTCCTTGTCACTTTCTGTATATGCCCCCTCTGTCTTCCTTAGTCTTGTCACTTGGTCGTTCACCGACATTTTTCTTCTTATATGACTGTGTAGTAACTTAGGTTGTTTTTTAGCTTTGATCGCAATATTGTTCTCATAATTTCTTTCCGATGCTCTTCTTATGTTAATGTACTCGTTCCTAGCTCTGTTGCATTTGATCCTGTTGTCCCCTGTCCTTTGTCTTCAATACTTCCTCCACTCCCTCCTGATTCTCATTTTTGCTTCCTGACACTGTCTATTAAACCATGGGTTATTATATTCCCTCTTACTTTTTCCTTTACTGTTGGTATAAATCTCTCTTCGGCCTCCTAGCATTTCCGTGTGACTAGGTCCATCATATCTTGGACTGTTTTTCCTCTAATTCCTTCCTCCCACTGCACTTCTCCCAGGTAGTCCCTTATCCTCCTGTAGTCCACTCTCCTTTCCCAGACGTCTTGTCCCTTGGTCACAAGTTTGAATTCCATCATGTAGTCAAAGACTAGGACACAATGGTCGCTGGCCCCTAAAGATATTTCATGTTCCAAATTCTCGATGTCTTCTACGTTCTGGGTACAAATCAGGTCTAATAGGCTCGGTGTATCCCTCCTCTTTCTCGCTGTGTACTCGCCTATTTGTGTTCATCTATTTTGGGCTGAAGGGTGAAGCTCTCTTACCCCAGCCATTACCACCATTCCAGTGAAACTCATCTATTTGTATTTCCCTATTTGTGTCAGTTACTCTTAGCTTCCAAAACCATTCCTATTACAGTCGATGTGTGCGTAAGTTATTACCCGTCATCCGCACAATTTCCACGTCAGATTTCCTTCTTAAGATGTAGTGTGGTAAACTGTAATTCTCGGACCCGACTTTAACTATTAGATTTCGTTAATGTTTCAAGGAGCGTTGTTGTTGTTGCTCAACTTCCATACATTAGTTACGTATACCACATTATAGTTACAAAAATATCACTAAATCACTCACAAAATATCACTAAATGCCTACAGCCCGAGCTTTAGACAAGCTTTCCCAGTCTAACCCAATCTAACCTAACCTAACCTAACCTAACCTAACCTAACCTAACCTCACATAACCCAAACTAACCTAAACTAACCTGACCTGACCTGACCTGACCTATAGTCAGACACTGTAAAGACAGTGTACAGGAAAAAAATACTTTTTCTATAAATTAGGAGGAAACATAAGGTGTAGCGAGGAGCAATGAACCATCAGCCTTGTATAAATTTTAACTTTCCTATAATAAGCAAATAAGCGAGGAAAAGCGTTAGGGCGAGGGGCAAATAAACTGATGATCTATGAGGAATAGCCAAATGTAATATATATATGTTAGGATATATTGGATATGATAATTGAAGAACAGGATGGATGGGTTGTAACTATTCTCCTATAAATTATAACATTTTTCTGCGTTTTAAAAGAATAAGAGCAACATGGGAAATGATTAAGGTATAATAACATACTAGTCAGCTAATTTTAATTGTCTGAATATCTACTTTTGTTCTGGGTTTATTTCGTGATGGAATGTAAGAAAGTATGGATGGTCTTTATCAGTATTTTATCCAGATGGTAAAAATTGCACTTTGTCCTGAGTATTTCAGTAAAATACCACAGGTCGGGGTAGGTTAGTTTAAGACGGGTTAGGTTAGGTTGTATTTCGGAAGATTACGTCTGGGATGTGATGGCATCGTTCTTCTTTGACGTGCGGGTAGTACAGCGTGTTGAATATCTGGTAGTGGTTGGAGGTCGTGGGAGGGTGTGTGTGTGTTATGTGGTTTTTCAGTCGAAGTGCCAGGTCGCTGGGAGGTTTGTACAGCTAGGGACTTCTTACTCTTAGTACCGGTGGTTGTGCTAAGTCAGCCTGGGGAGTGACGTGGGTAAGGCGTACTAAGTAGTTATTTCGGAGTTTGTCCAGCATCTGTTTAAACGCTTTGTGTACAGTAATGGTAGCTGCGTTAGGTCGGGTGTCACTTGTCTGTAGATGTGGTGTGTGTGGGGGTCAGCCTCGGGGATGGTTTGATTATATGTTTAAATAATTTTGTTAGGAGTCGCAGCATCTTTTAAAGTGCGTTTTCAATGCGAGTGACAAGTGTTCCTACATATCGGGACTCGGTTGAACGTTATGTGGAGAGGATTGATCTCTGGGGTTACAGGCTTATCAGTGACAGACATATCATGTACACGCAAAGGTTGTGGTTGAGTGTGAGGTAGTGGTTGATGACGGACTGAGTTAGGTGGTTTCAGTGCATTACAGTATTGCAAGTTGTTGGTGGGGAGAATATTAATTTTTTTCCGCTATGTGTGAAAGACATTTGAAAGTAATATCATGATCGTCACCACAGCTTGAGCAGGTGAGTATATATCTGACACACAGTCTTATGTGTAATGGGAACCAGAGCATTTGCCACATTTGATGTCATTGGTGCTGCCTTCCAAGGTATGGTTAAAACCTTTACATCTAAAGCACCGAGTTGGACGGCTGGACACCTCTACTTTATGGAGTAAGCCATTAATCCAAACCCGATCAGGGGGAAGCGTAATTGGTTTGTTAGCTTTCTGTTGTGCATTGTTTGATAACTTTCCTTTTTGAAGTCTCTCAGGTACAGGCTCTGTATAAACCAATTTATTAATGTTCATGTCTGTTTATTGATGTTAGTGGTACTTGTTGTATTTAAGTTAAATGTTTATAAACACACAAAAATGAAAGGGAGAAAATAATAACTTCGTAATTAAGAGCCTTTTTGTGTGTGTTGGTTTCACTGTATATTATTCGTATATTTTGTTTCGTTTGTATATAATGTCCTTTTAATGTTTACTTTGACAATTTGAGGGCATACTAGTGGTGGTGTCATTTAGACTAACATGTTTGCTTATACTTTGTGTGTGTGGCGGTGCTAATTGGTATAAAGTGTGCCGTTTCCTGGTGTGAATGTGCAAGTGTGTCGTGCTGTGTGTGTGTGGTGTGCTCCTTCCTGATTTACTTATTGTATAGGGGTTTAAATAGCAAATCATTTGTGTTGTTACATTAATTTGTTCCTTGCCTTTAGTTCCATGTTTTGTACATACAACTAAAAGCCATATTGTACATTTTCTTGCACATTCCTGCAAGTTGTTAGGAATGAGGATTACATTCTTGAACATTCCTGCAGTACTTTTTGTATGTCAGCAGTTCTGATTGTCTAATATGATTGTGGTAATTAAGAGGATTTAAACTACTTTTATTTCATTTACTTTTGTACATAGTGGGTTCTTTTTAATAATAATGAACTGGAAAACAAAACTGTTGTAGATGCTTTGGGTTGTTCTTTGCGAAGTGTAGTTAAGTATTTTTGTTCCCATGTACGTTCACTTTTCTTGTTAATTACGTGTAGTTGTTATGGATGTGTTTGTTGTCTGTGTCAGGTTTCTTTGCTTTGTTTATTAGAAGATTTGTTAGTAATAATTTTCATTTGTACATATTTGTACTTTTAATTCATAAAACTGTACTGTTTAGCTTGAGGTCGGCTTGTGTTATTTTGTGCTCACTGTTTTGTGTGTGCTTTTGGGGTGTTACATGTGGAGTGGGTGTGCTTGCGTAGTTGTTCTCATATGTGCTTTTTGTTATGTAAATTGAGTGTGGATATTATGGTTGGCCTTACTGTCTGTTTCTGTGTCAGTTCCTTGTTATGTGTATTTAAAGATTGGTTCGTATTCATTTTAAATTAGTACATAATTGTTTTTGTTAATAAAGAAAGAGTTGATGTCCACTCAGAATACCATTCTGCGGAGCTTAAGATCTTCTCGAATTAATATTTTAACTTTTATTTATTTTAATAATCACGAAAATCTGGACACAATCTTTAGTAAATTCACACCCGGGTGGATGATGCTGGTTTTGTCATGGTCAAATTTCACATTGTCACTACATATTTTTACGCATGAATTGCATCTGATTTACATATGTTGCTTTCCAGTGTAGATACAATAAGTGAGAATTCAAAACATTTTCCTCACCACAGGTTGAACGAAATATACGACTTAGAATTGCTTGGTATAAACAGGATCTGTCTTTCCTTGGACAATAATCTTGCTGCCGTTACTATTTTCTCGTTAGTTGTAGACAACCGTTGTTGTTTTTGTGGTTTTTAGATTCAGCTACTCGGAACAAGAAGTTCCAGTAGCACGGGCTATGGTGAACCCGTAAGTGGAGGCTCTTTGGAGCCTTTTGTGTGGACGACCCCTTACCTAACTCCTATATAGAATACTCTCACCTAATTCCTCTACTTTGTTTCCCTCCAGTAAGTGCCAAGGGAAGAACCTGATATGCGAGGAGGACAAATGCATGATCGAGGAGCAGGTGATCCAGACCGTGAACCTTGCCCAGCGTCAGTATGGCTGGAGGGCGACCAACCACTCCAAGTTCTGGGGCAGGAAGGCACGAGAGGGCCTCGTACTTCGAACCGGCACTCACAACCCAGAGGCTCTGGTCAGTTTTATGTTCTATAAATTATATGTAACTTGCTCACCACAAAAATATAAATTTCTTATGGTCTTACGTCTTATAGATTGGTATGGTCCAGTTCTTTGAACCTATGTATATTATGCTATTAAAACCCTATTGATATTTTCTATGTAACTAGCTTATCAAGACTGTAGCTTGCTAAGCTAAATAAATGTTAGGGTTGAATTCCTGAGTTCATAATATGTCTGTTATCTTTTCCATTACCACTAACAAGATGGGTATGGGATGCTTAACAAATGAACTGAACTAGCTAAATTTCTCTCTCATATATAAACAAAATTTGAACATCCAGTTGAGTTGTCGAATACTCTTAACTTAGGAGAAGAAAATAATTGGATCAGATCTTGTCACTTGTAGATGTGATCAAAGGGGAAAGTCAGCTTCTTTGGAGGGTAGAAGTGCTTTTCAGTCTTCGCTCTTTATGCTTGGTACGAGCTCAATCATACGCTATAGGAAGATATTAAGGAATGAGGTGCATTGTTTGCAAATGCGTGTACTCACCTAGTTGTACTTGCGGGGGTTGAGCTCTGGCTCTTTGGTCCCGCCTCTCAACCTTCAATCAACAGGTGTACAGCTTCCTGAGCCTACTGGGCTATATCATATCTACACTTGAAACTGTGTATGGAGTCAGCCTCCACCACATCACTTCCTAATGCATGATCGAGAAGTGTGTGTGTGTGTGCAGGGTCAGTGAAGGTCGTACTTGAATTTACTATATTGACTAAAGGTTACTCGGATAGCTGGAGAGTGGTTGGCAGGAAACACCCAGTAAAAGAAGTCAAAATAGCCGTAATGAAGGCTGTAGTAGAGACTTCAGGCATCTTCTCTATTACTTGATCAGTGCAAAGAGAGATACAGAGGGATGAATGCTATTTTGCAAAACAATTTCAGAAAGACTTAGGTTTTCTGATTCGAAAGACATAAGACTCCTGATTTGTGCTTTGGTCGACCTGGCTGTTAGACGCAGCTGCTCACATTAGACGTATGAATCACAGCCTGATTCATAACATAAGAATCCTTTGGAGGTATCCATCACGTTCTCTATTGAAGACCGTGAGAGGTCGGCTAGTTATGCCTCTTATATTTGAGAGTGTTGAAAAGTGTTGGGTCCTTGACATTGTTAGCATTCTCTCTCAGCGTACATATTGCTCCTCCCAGTCACATATATCATGTTACCAGAGGTCGGAGTAGGCGCGAGTGAATACTGAGAGTCATTGGTATGAATAACTTCTTGGAAATGACAACTGGAAAACATTATTGGGTGAAAATTACATGTATTGATAGATCATCATGCATACCATTGATTTTGTACGGATATTTGATCTTCCCAGAATCTCTCTCCGTTATTGTCTTAATCTGCTTTTATCTGTATACCTGCATAGTCATACTAGCTTAGCGCGCTCTCCTAATCATTTTCTTTTACATGCCTATATATCAAAATAATAACCCACTATTTTGAAAACATGAGGAATTGTAAACTATATTTCGATCCTAACTCAGGATCCTCTTCAGCAGTGGTAAGACGATCACTGCTGAAGAGGGTCCCGGGTTGCCATCGAAATATACAGTCTACATTTGCTCATGTTTTCAAAATAGTGAGTTATTATTTTCATTGATTAGTGTGTCAATTGTGCTTCATTCTCATGCCTTTTGTATGTTCAAACAAGAGCCTTTCATTTCATCCATTGTCAAATCTCAATAACGTGACACATCTATGGGAAAATCTTTGCCCCACGACGGCGGGATCGAACCTGCGGACTCCAGATTGAGTAACTTTTAAGCGTGTCGTGGTGCTTGGGTTACTGAGCGCGTGTGGGGGGAGGGGGGGTGACCCAGGACGATTCCCTCATTCTGTTCCAAAGGATTTGTCATGGTATATTAGGTTTTGTAAATTTAGATAGAATTTAAGGAACCAATGTGAGTGTTTCTTGATGTGTTTTATAGTGTTTCGGTGTAATTATGTGTTCAACCACTTCCATGGAACTTTCTGGAACATAAGCTAGCTGAGCTAGCTAAATAATACTGTCTCATCTGTCAGAACACAAGAATCAAGGAAACTGCAGAGGCCTATTGGCCCATATGAGGCCGCTCCTATTTATATGCACCGAAATTCGTTCATATATATGTATATCCTACGCTTGAAAAATTCAAGGGATCCTACGTCTATTATGTTACTCGGTAATTGGGTCCACAAATTTACAACCCTGTTACCGAACCAGTATTTACCCAGGTCTTTCCTAAATCTAAACTTAACCAATTTATATCCATTTCTTTGTGGAATGTGTTGATATATTTAACTTATTAATATTCCCTTTGTTGTTCACATTCATCCACTTGTACATTAAAGTCGTGTCTCCCCAAACTCTTCGCATTTCTAGAGAATATTGAACGTGTAACTTACTCTTGCCTCAACGTATTCACGAGTCTTAACAGCAAGTCTCCTGTTAAACAGTCACTCACGAGTCTTAACAGCAAGTCTCCTGTAAACCACTCACGAGTCTTAACAGCAAGTCTCCTGTTAAACAGTCACTGAAGATGTACCCGATATTACTCCGGCCGGATGTCTCCCGCATCCCGCGCCAGTTCGATGCCCGGAACAAGAGAGAGTGGCAGGGGCGTGTGAGTGGCGTGAGTGACCAGGGCTGGTGCGGTGCCTCCTGGGCGTTTTCCACCTTAGGCGTAACTCAGGACAGGTGAGTAACCAGGGGCCAGATTCCCGAACCAGTTGCGCAAGCACTTACGAGCCTGTCCATCTTTTCTCAATCTTTGGGGGCTTTGTTTACGATTATTAAACAGTTAATGAACTCGGAAGCATCAGGAGGCTGTTTATAAGAATAACACCAGTTGATTTGGAAGTTTTCATGTTTGTAAACTGTTCAATAAATGTAACCAAAGCCGTCAAAGATTGAGAAAAGATGTACAAGTTCGTAAGTACTTGGCGTAACTGCTTCCTGAATCCGGGTCCAGGAGTGCTGCTTCGCCTCCTTTCTCATGGTTTCCTCTTCGCCGGACTCTGATGAAGAAGCTATTTTTTTCCTTGACGTTTGTCAAGCAAAAAACAAAGGACTCCACTCTTCGTACCCATTGAAACGGAGCGTAGCCTGAGGAATCCATGACAAAATCTCAAATTGCAGAATGAATAAAAAAAATCGTTATTCATAATTTGGTTTAACGTCAGGTGATATCTTTTAAATTGTGGGCGGTAAGGCATAATGTTTTGTTTCACATGCATCAATATGTCTATAATAGCCAGGCGGGAGAGAGACTGTAGTAATTCTGGTATGTCTACACAAGCGAAAAAGTACATTAAATATGGGCACATTTAAGTTCTTTGTGATGACAATTGCACAAATTTTCCTGATGGGGATTAACTTCAGGAAAGCGAGTAAATATTCATAGCATCTTGCCGCATTAGACAATGGATTCTTACGGTCTATCAGTATCCTTTCAAAACGCAGATGAAGTCACAATAACGTGGCTGAAAAATGTTGACCAAACCACACACTAGAAATTGAAGAGACGACTGCGTTTTGGTCCGTCCTGGACCATTATAAAGTCGATTGTGACGTCGTCGGCTCTTCCATTTCTAGTGTGTGGTTTGGTCAACAACTTTTCAAAACATTGGTCAAACGAAGAGATAGGTTTCAATTGGGCTCTGGGAATGACCTGTCCGATGATAACCAGGAAATGTCTTATAATACACCACCACTTTCTAATAATCTCCCTGCCAGTAAATAGAATTCTAAATCTTATCCGCCACCTAACGAATCACAAAAAGATGCTTCCAATTCCGAGCTGCTTGACTTTTGCAGTTGTAAGACCTATATGCTTTGGTTGACACTATCTGGCGGTTCACTCACCCAGTCGTCTGAACGGCTCGTTAAACGGAGTCTCCACTTGTGCATGAGTATGTAACTCCAAACATACGAACAAACGGGGACCTTGTTCTCAAGCCTTCCACCCCTTTGGTTTTACTCCAGGGCTGAACACGCTCCTCTGGTGGGCATCTAGCTCACAGGTCCTCAGACCCGCCGTCACACTCTTCACTCAGTCCTGTATGATTATAGACAGTCAAAGGTGCTGAGTATTTGAGCATACAATTAATTTTAAGGTTTTATTTGAGTTCTACATCAGAGTGACATTTACATATAACAAATTTCATCCTTATTATTACTTGATTTGGTTGATTCAAATTTTAAACATGAAACATATACAGTTATATTAATCTCCAACGGGGAAATGACTGCCCATTGAGGCTTAGTTTTAGTAAGAGTTTAAATATTCATATTTTGCCCCTTGCTCCAGATTATCCATCGAGTCTTTGGGGAACGAGACGGTGAGACTGGCGCCGCAGCACCTCCTGAGTTGTGACAGGCGGGGGCAGAGTGGCTGCCAGGGCGGACACGTCGACAGGGCCTGGCAGTACCTGAGAAGATTTGGGTAAGTTTCTCCTGTTTCTTCATTCTTTCTCTGTAATATAAGCTTAGGGTGTATTAGGAGGGGTGTCTTTTTTTGCAGGGATATTCCTGCGCGGGGCCTAAGCCTCTGGCTGGTCCACTAAGTGTTGCTTGTTTCTGTTTTACTTGGGCGGAGTATGAGTATTTATGACTCGTATGGTCGCTTCAGTAAGATTTTGCCATATGTGTTTAACAACTTCTTCTGCTCTGTTGAATCTAAGTTGAAATCTTAATGGGTTTGTAACAGTGCACTATGTTAGATTATGTTCCAATGGTCTGTCGGGCGTTTCTCGACAGTGCTGACATGGAGTGGTGCTGATATTCCTAAATGAAGCTGCTAGCTTAAAGCTGTTTGTCCTACGTCAACTCCTATTTATGTCTTTCACTATAATTAGATCGATTTAATGAGATCTTTTGTTTCTTAGGAATTATGCAACATGATTAAGTTTCAGTCATATCAAGTCCGGGATGAAGCTGGAGCTAACCGTGTACTAGGGCCTTCATATAGGCGGTTGACTTGACTTTACGTGTATATACATGGTGAAATGCCTCCATATGGTGCTGGAGTTACGGTCTAGACACTGGCGGAGTCAGCATAGATCATGATGATGGCTGAGTGACTTGTGTTATGGCTGTAAACTACTGCTGGTTTTTAAAGTTGGGGGGCAGGTTACTGACATTCCGAGCTTAAAGGCTCAAATGTACTGACCAGAATGCACCAAGACTGAAGAGGAGTCTTCTCGCATGGATCTCTACCTAATTCAGAAGTTGGTTAAATAGTGGAGCTAGGATATTCAGGAGAGCAATTCCTTTTTAAGATGTGATAAAACTTGTGCATCTTTTAAGGTTTTCCAGCTACTACTGTCGAGAAGATGCCAGGTATGCCTTAGAGCTGTGAGCCTCAGTGGTCTTGCTTGTTAGATTCAGCGTGTGGTTCTTAGTGGTCAGTGATGAGTCAAACATCATACCCAAGATGTCAACTTCAACATTAAATATTTTAGCCTTTGCCTGTCACAACTGTAGTATCATGCGGGGTGGTTATCATCATACTCTTTGTTTTCTCAGCCGCATATGTGACATATGCTCTCAACTTCATACGTTTGAGTCAAAGGGAGAAGCAGTGAATGATATACGTAAACATTACACAAAAAGGGACCAAACATACTACCATGTGGTACAAAGATCCCAGTTCTGTTGTTTTCAGATTTCTGCATTGAGAACTATCATTAGAGTCCGTCCTTAATAACAGTCCCTTACTACTTGTAGAATTCAGTCGGGAATGCTAAGGTCTTGAAGTCTTTCCTATGAGAAATAGCTGTGGTGCAAGGACTGTGCCCTGGGGTACAAAGTTTTTCACTGCAGTTAGCCTTGACCTTATTTTTTTTACTGTTACTCTTTAACAAAACCGGCTTAAACAACAAAGATGATTTTGGATTCATTCTTGACCGATGCCACTTAGTGAAGAGGCTTAACAATAGAATGGCATTTCGTGAAGACATATTGTCGACCACACTGCAACCGGTGAGCCGGAATACGGTCATCTATTTTTATTTTGCAACAAGAACTTTGCCAATAATTAAGCAGGTGTCACTGGTCTGCAGTTATTGACCACTGACCGGCTGTTCCTTGTGTGTACTGGAACAACATTGGTGTTCTTCCATAGTGTGAGGGGCCATATAGTTTGAGCAGTGTAGAGTTGGTACAGGTGAAACCAGTATAATCCGACTGGTCTTATCCCATCAGTTTGCCCTTTCTTATAACTTTACAAGTCGAAAATTTTATGTTCATCAAAGTCCCTTTGAATATGGTGGTGATTGAGGTCTCCAGCAATTGTTCTAACCGTTATGTTACATTAGTCGGAAGTCAAGACTGACATTAATAAATTAGTTGTGTAAGCACAAGAGGTCTGTTTATTGTGCACATCAGTTTGGAGATTCTGGGATACATGTATAGTTTATAGAACCTAAATTCAGGGTGAAGATAGATGACATCAATCGCTTGGGTACATACAGATTTAACAACCCATCCTGTTTAGATAATACATTTCGTAACTAAGTAGACCATCGGACATACAAAGATGTAATGGACAATTAAATAGTAGAATTTGGTACTATTTGCTTTATACTCAGAAAAATCTTAAATATTCCTAGGCCTAGTATAAGACATGTATTTACTCTATTAGGCCTCAGATAGCGTGTATTAGGCCTAGGAAGGTTAGGTTAGGTTAAGTTTCCTTCGCAGCATCAGTACAAGAACTTTTCTGGATTGACCAAATTCAGTGGTACTAATTTCTACTTCCGCATAGCCTTTTACGTCAATATATGTACGATGGTCCTCAGCGTTACTATGAGTACTCTCTAAATAGAAGGATGGACTGGATTTAATAACACAGACTAATTTTCCCCTCCATGACCCAACCTGTCACTGAGTAACCATAAGATATAACCAACATTATTAGCAAATGTTCAGGACTCGTGTCTAGAAATGAGTCCAGCACAATGTTAGAACGACGAATGTTCACGGAAGTATCTGAGTGAACGGCGATATTCACTAGTAAGGCTACTGAGGTGAGTTCCAGTCGGGCCTGACTGCTAGCCTGCCAGTAGCTGTTTGTTTTGGTGTGGGCCGGCTGTCTCAGACTTGGTGTGGGCCGGCTGCCTCAGACTTGGTGTGGGCCGGCTGCCTCAGACTTGGTGTGGGCCGGCTGCCTCACACTTGGTGTGGGCCGGCTGCTTCAGACTTGATGTGGGCCAGCTGCCTCAGACTTGGTGTGGGCCGGCTGCCTCAGACTTGGTGTGGGCCGGCTGCCTCAGACTTGGTGTGGGCCGGCTGCCTCAGACTTGGTGTGGGCCGGCTGCCTCAGACTTGGTGTGGGCCGGCTGCCTCAGACTTGGTGTGGGCCGGCTGCCTCAGACTTGGTGTGGGTCGGCTGCCTCAGACTTGGTGTGGGTCGGCTGCCTCAGACTTGGTGTGGGCCGGCTGCCTCAGACTTGGTGTGGGCCGGCTGCCTCAGACTTGGTGTGGGTCGGCTGCCTCAGACTTGGTGTGGGCCGGTTGCCTCAGACTTGGTGTGGGCCGGCTGCCTCAGACTTGGTGTGGGCCGGTTGCCTCAGACTTGGTGTGGGCCTGTTGCCTCAGACTTGGTGTGGGCCGGCTGCCTCAGACTTGGTGTGGGTCGGCTGCCTCAGACTTGGTGTGGGCCGGCTGCCTCAGACTTGGTGTGGGCCGGCTGCCTCAGACTTGGTGTGGGCCGGCTGCCTCAGACTTGGTGTGGGCCGGCTGCCTCAGACTTGGTGTGGGCCGGCTGCCTCAGACTTGGTGTGGGCCGGTTGCCTCAGACTTGGTGTGGGCCGGCTGCCTCAGATATGGTGTGGGCCGGTTGCCTCAGACTTGGTGTGGGCCGGCTGCCTCAGACTTGGTGTGGGCCGGCTGCCTCAGACTTGGTGTGGGCCGGCTGCCTCAGACTTGGTGTGGGCCGGCTGCCTCAGACTTGGTGTGGGCCGGCTGCTTCAGACTTGATGTGGGCCAGCTGCTTCAGACTTGGTGTGGGCCGGCTGCCTCAGATTTGGTGTGGGCCGGCTGCCTCAGACTTGGTGTGGGCCGGCTGCCTCAGATATGGTGCTTCGCTGGTTGTGTCCTGCTTGATGCGCGAGGACAGACCTCAACAGACAGTCATGGGATCCTATACTCCTCCACTGAGGAGGTTCGTCTCAGCGTGCTCGGAGACTCGACTCTTATATAGTGTGAGCTGCGCTTGTTGATGTGCTGGGGTTGCCATGGACGAACAACACCAGAGTAATGGACGTGTAGTGGTAACTTTTCAAGACGTGTGATGCTCCTGAGGCGTTCCTGGCAAGATGTGAGGACACGTCCTCTTCCTTGCCTGATGGCACGGGTGAGGTGCGTGTTAGCAACGTCAGACTGACTGACATGTGGGGACGGTGCGTGATGTGTCATTTGAACTGTCGAACGAAGTGTTCGCTCATGTTTTTGACAAGTTTGGCAAGGTTGTGTGTGTATCCGGTGGAATAGTTTACGTTTAGCCATGCAAACTGTTTATTAACTGACCTACGAACTGTGAGAATGGAGTTGGGGAGAAATATTCAATCTTCGGTCTCAATATTATATTATTATATTATATTATAATAAAAGCATATTATTATTAATAGCACTGGTATTATAATAGCACTGTGTGCATGCTAGCCAGTCAGGACGTGTTTCTAGTGCGGGTTGCCTGGCCACCTTACTGCTGCCTGCCGACTGGAGAGGACGGACTGGTTGAACACCTTCAGTGCGAATGACTGTTGCCATTTTGCATTTCATTGACTTATTATGCACCCCATACCCATCTCTTGGGCGATGGTGGAAAGGGTTATAGAGGCACATAATGGGTTCATGAACACCCATTGAGTGATAATGGTGCTCGCAAGATCGCTGACGAATTTGATTCTGAGTGTATGGTGATCCGGTGGTGGATGGTGTGTGTGTGTGCGTGTGTGTTGCTGGTAGCCGGATTCTGGTGAGGAATCCCCTGCAGCCATCGTGTAGTCCAGGTGGTGATGTAGATGGTGCTCGGGAGGCTGCGGGTGTAGTGAATGTTGGGCCTACAGTGTTGGGTCCGGTGCAGGGTGTGGTGAATGTCTGTCGGAATCACAGAAGGATATGGCTGGGTTGATTGGAGACCATCCCGGCGAAGTTCGAGGTGTCATTACGGCTGATTCCCCTACTGTGGTGTGCCCTGGTGATGCTGGTGGTCCTCCAGTTTGCCTGCACAATGCACCGGCACTCCTCACACACCGCCAAAGACAGAAACGAGTTTGCTCGTGCAAGAATACCGCTGCAAAAGACAAATATAAGCGGTGGGCTCTATAGGCGTGGATGAGGTGCTTTTATTCTAGTTAATAACACATGCTTCTTGTACCCGACTGTGAGAGACGGTAATGATGTGTCTGTGCCAAGTATATATGTTATTGCACTGCTCAGGAATAAGTATCAGGTGTATATATTGGTTAAAAATATTAGTAATTTTATGCCCATACCAGGGGATCTATAGGCCTATTGTGTGTTACAGCCCATGATGTTAAACTTCCAATAAAAGTTAGTTAAATAGTGTTAAGGCACTTACCCGAATATTAACCTCTAACTTATGGTAGCTTATTGGCGAAGATGCCTCCAACCTGACTCACTCAGCCCCCCCCCCCAGTGATGAATCACGATAATAACTAATCTGTCGTCCAGATGAATGACAGGATGTAATCAGGCTTCACCGGATTATTGACAATTCGACAATTTATTCCACCACACACCACCAGACTCTTACACAGATCACATATACTCACAAGGAACTCCAATAACTTTTCACAGACACAATATAACATTCTCTAGCCATATAGATACAGCACTACATGTATGTGAGAAGGAGTGGCACAGACTGAAAGCACAGGACTAGATTGAATTTGCAAGATGTAGAGCGTGGAAGCGCTACAGCTACCTCTGACCATGTCCCCAGACTAACTGACTCTTGCTGCCAGTAACCGGCAGCCTAGAACTTGAACATCAGAGCCAGGGCACTGATATGTCAGGCCAGGGTATCATAACAGAGCCAGGTTACTGATATGTCAGGCCAGGGTATCATATCAGAGCCAGGTTACTTATATGTCAGGCCAGGGTATCATATCAGAGCCAGGTTACTGATATGTTAGGCCAGGGTATCATATCAGAGCCAGGGCACTGATATGTCAGGCCAGGGTATCATATCAGAGCCAGGGTACTGATATGTCAGGCCAGGGTATCATATCAGAGCCAGGTTACTGATATGTCAGGCCAGGCTATCATATCAGAGCCAGGATATCATATCAGAGCCAGGGTACTGATATGTTACTTGACGTATTAACGTCAAGTAAAGGCCTTAAGAATAGAGAACAATAAGGATAAAGGAAAAAGCATTAGACCTATTGCTTGCTCTCACATATGTACCCAAATATTCTTATTATATATTGTATGTCTAACCTTAGCTTGAAACCATTCATGGACCCGGGTAGTAAGAGGTGTTCCTTCCTCAGGGTGGTGAACGAGGAGTGCTACGCCTACGAGAGTGGCACCACAGGTCAGCTACCGACCTGTAGAGTCCCTCCCAACGCCAACCTCTTCAGCCTTCGCTGTTCTAATAACGAGGTCAGGTGCAGTGTTATATCTATTATGTGCATGTGAATATCTATTATTATATCTATTATGTGCATGGTCTCTTGTGTCCTCTGTGTGCTTCTTTGTTTCTCTACAGACCACAAGAAATGAAGGAATCTGTAGAAGGTTTTTGCAGTAGTTAGGCAGCTCCAGTTAGCATCCTACCATTACCGTTGATATATTTGTCAACCCAGTCCTTAAATCTTTACTATGGAACAAGTAAATCACATTAAGTCTTTGATATAATTGTTCCATAGATCTCCATTCCTTTCCAAACCAGTGTTTGGTGTTTGACTACTTCTTATCTACTTATTCAGCTTGAATCAATTATTCTATTTTGGATTTAATTGGCTAGCACTCAGTTTATTTTCCATGTTTAATGCTATCATACATTTGAACATTAATTATCTTCTCTAATATGCCTTTATCACTTAGCCAGTAACTGTTTTTTTTCATATCAAAGTTTATATGGGCTTTAGTACCTCTTTTTATTCGATCCAACCCTGAGTCATAAGTAGGTTATTAAGAACTGGCAGTAATAGTCAAACTAAAGGAAAAGGAGAGTAAACAGCACTAAACAGAACCATTAAAAAGTGTACATCTTAGCTATATACACATATACATCACATAACACACCAGGTGTCACTTTCATGCAAGACACTATAAAAGAACTTCTGCAATCTTCTCTCCTGGTGAGTCCACTTCAATCGTACACCGCTCAAGGTTTCCTCCCTGAGTCTGTTTTCTGTGGTCCTCACGCCGGTGAGTTCACTTTCCTCAGTAAACCCCGGGCCGGTACTCTACAATATCATCACGGTGCCAGAACACCGCGTCTACTCTCCAGCAACACACTGGCAGCTTCCACAAAGGCTTCAGTTATAACCAGCCGTAACAGACGGACATAAATTCTATCTCGTAACTTAGCTACGTCATTCTGGGATATGTCGGTCTAAGTATCACAGACAAATCACAATCTACTCCGACTCGGCCCACTTGTTCCACTGGAACACGTCTTCAGTTCAGGTCTGCCCTGGTTGAATTGATTTCCTGTTGACCTAGGTACCACCCACATCACTTCTGGGGAGTAAAAGATGAATAGTAAAAAGGAAACTAACAGGTGTCAATAAGATCGCAACCTTCCACCGGGAAACAGAAAATGGGGTCGGGTGTGCTCAACAGATGGCGTTGACATCTTCACACCTCTCCTAAAAGATGTGTGTGTTGATAGTTTATTTGTGTGAGAAGATTATATTCTCCTTGATCGAGTCCTGTTGTTTGTGCATTGTTGCAGACCATCACCAGAGACTTTTTAACAAGCAACACTGAAATAATCGACAGCTATAACGACAACAGGAGACTGGACAACAGCAAGGCGCAACACATCAAAAAGTCAAGACCAGCAATCAATAACCAGTTAACACATAATTACATCCTACCCACTTAAACACCCCGAGCCAACACAGAGAGGGTCCAATGACCCTGCCTTAGAAACTCAAGCAGCTGTTAGAACATCAGCTGCTTATGTTGATGCATGCAAAACCCTATCAATATGCTATACAATTCATCCTCTTGTTCTGTACCACTTAACCCGAAGAGAATATAAGCCTGTGCAAAAGCATGGTAAATTTTTGGTAAATAAATTCATGGTAAATAAATTCATGGTAAATAAATATCCAGAGACATTGCAGAAGCCATACACAGACTCAGACTTGGCTACAAGTGCTGCTGGGAGGTAATAAACCCAATAGTTAAAGAGTGTCATATCTGTGGAACAGAAGCAGAGGCGCCGCTATTGCACTTCTTACTGGAATGTGAAGCTACTGAAGCCCTGCACATCAAACTCAACATTAATCCAACGACAGCAGCTGCATTAGATACCACTACAATGATTAGAAAAGTCGTTAAAGAATAGGACTCACTAGTTAACATTCTGCACCTACATCCGCCACCAAGATAATGTTATTAAAACGAGACTAAAACAGAAGCGAAAAAGAAACAGGGATAAAGGAGGAAACCCCACCTCCATTTAAAACTTTCACCCAAATATCAGAATAAAAAGGTTATTGTGAATAACCGAACTCAAATTACAGGCTCACTATAGCCCGTGCTACATGGACATTTCGATCTGAGTAGTTAAATTTAAAACAACAACAACAGCATGAAAAATTAGTTTTTGAGAATGTAAGGCGTAACCTTGCAGACCAAAACTAAAGCATGCAAATGTTTGGCGAGTTAATTTTTCAACTTCCCCTGACAGTGAAGAAAAACATAAAAAATATTGGAAAGATTAGTGTTATTAATCTTACCAGTTCGCTCACATTCATAATATATAATTATATTATATACATATATATATGTATATATATATATATATATATATATATATATATATATATATATATATATATATATATATATATATATATATATATATATATATATATATATATATGCGAACAAGCCTGAATGGTCCCCAGGACAATATGCAACTGAAAACTCACACCCCAGAAGTGACTCGAACCCATACTCCCAGAAGCAACGCAACTGGTATGTACAAGACGCCTTAATCCACTTGACCATCACGACCGGACATAATGAGGTGATAGCCGAGGCTATTTGAACCACCCCACCGCCGGCACTCGGATAGTAATCTTGGGCATAGCATTTTACCAAATCACCTCATTCTTTGGGGCACACGTGAGGAACACAAATGCGAACAAGCCTGAATGGTCCCCAGGACAATATGCAACTGAAAACTCACACCCCAGAAGTGTGATTTGGTAAAATGCTATGCCCAAGATTACTATCCGAGTGCCGGCGGTGGGGTGGTTCAAATAGCCTCGGCTATCACCTCATTATGTCCGGTCGTGATGGTCAAGTGGATTAAGGCGTCTTGTACATACCAGTTGCGTTGCTTCTGGGAGTATGGGTTCGAGTCACTTCTGGGGTGTGAGTTTTCAGTTGCATATTGTCCTGGGGACCATTCAGGCTTGTTCGCATTTGTGTTCCTCACGTGTGCCCCAAAGAATGAGGTGATTTGGTAAAATGCTATGCCCAAGATTACTATCCGAGTGCCGGCGGTGGGGTGGTTCAAATAGCCTCGGCTATCACCTCATTATGTCCGGTCGTGATGGTCAAGTGGATTAAGGCGTCTTGTACATACCAGTTGCGTTGCTTCTGGGAGTATGGGTTCGAGTCACTTCTGGGGTGTGAGTTTTCAGTTGCATATTGTCCTGGGGACCATTCAGGCTTGTTCGCATTTGTGTTCCTCACGTGTGCCCCAAAGAATGAGGTGATTTGGTAAAATGCTATGCCCAAGATTACTATCCGAGTGCCGGCGGTGGGGTGGTTCAAATAGCCTCGGCTATCACCTCATTATGTCCGGTCGTGATGGTCAAGTGGATTAAGGCGTCTTGTACATACCAGTTGCGTTGCTTCTGGGAGTATGGGTTCGAGTCACTTCTGGGGTGTGAGTTTTCAGTTGCATATTGTCCTGGGGACCATTCAGGCTTGTTCGCATTTGTGTTCCTCACGTGTGCCCCAAAGAATGAGGTGATTTGGTAAAATGCTATGCCCAAGATTACTATCCGAATGCCGGCGGTGGGGTGGTTCAAATAGCCTCGGCTATCACCTCATTATGTCCGGTCGTGATGATCAAGTGGATTAAGGCGTCTTGTACATACCAGTTGCGTTGCTTCTGGGAGTATGGGTTCGAGTCACTTCTGGGGTGTGAGTTTTCAGTTGCATATTGTCCTGGGGACCATTCAGGCTTGTTCGCATTTGTGTTCCTCACGTGTGCCCCAAAGAATGAGGTGATTTGGTAAAATGCTATGCCCAAGATCACTATCCGAGTGCCGGCGGTGGGGTGGTTCAAATAGCCTCGGCTATCACCTCATTATGTCCGGTCGTGATGGTCAAGTGGATTAAGGCGTCTTGTACTTACCAGTTGCGTTGCTTCTGGGAGTATGGGTTCGAGTCACTTCTGGGGTGTGAGTTTTCAGTTATATATATATATATATATATATATATTTGCCTAATATATAGGTACGACATATATATATATATGTCGTACCTAGTAGCCAGAACGCACTTCTCAGCCTATTATACAAGGCCCGATTTGCCTAATAAGCCAAGATTTCCTGAATTAATATATTTTCTCTAATTTTTTTCTTGTAAAATGATAAAGCTACCCATTTCATTATGTATGAGGTCAAATTTTTTATTGGAGTTAAAATTAACGTAGATATATGACCGAACCTAACCAACCCTACCTAACCTAACCTAACCTATCTTTATAGGTTAGGTTAGGTTAAGTAGCCTAAAAAGTTAGGTTAGGTTAGGTTAGGTAGGTTAGGTAGCCGAAAAACAATTAATTCATTAAAACTTGGCTTATTAGGCAAATCGGGCCTTGCATAGTAGGCTGAGAAGTGCGTTCTGGCTACTAGGTACGACATATATATATATATATATATAGTAGTATATTTTGGTAGCAGTCTTTCCTGTAACACGAATTTAATAATTCTAACACGAATTTTCTCAATCTTTCGTACATTATGCTTCACTGTTGGAGGTAAATCAAAAATCACTTCTCCAAAATTCATTTTTATTTCTAGTCTGACGCGACACGGGCGCGTTTCGTAAAACTTATTACATTTTCAAAGACTTCACAAATACACAACTGATTAGAACTTGCGTTTCCCTGATTTTATATCTACATTTGAGTGAGGTGGGAAGGGTGATGTGGCATTACATTTGAGTGAGGTGGGAAGGATGATGTGGCATTAGAGGATATTAATAGGGTATTAAAAGTATCAACACAAGACAGAACACGAAACAATGGATATTGAATAGAAGTGTTTGTAGAAAGCCTATTGGTCCATATTTCTTGATGCTTCTATATTGGAGCGGAGTCTTGAGGTGGGTAGAATATAGTTGTGCAATAATTGGCTGTTGATTGCTGGTGTTGACTTCTTGATGTGTAGTGCCTCGCA